TTTTTTAAGAAATGTGCTTTAATCAGGGAAGTAAGATCCATACTCAAAGACAAGTAACTGTTTGACTTTTCCCCTGTAAATAGTTTAAGGACTGTAAAGTGTTGGAGAGATCATTAGGAAATGATGTGAGTGGTTTTTGAACTATTCATTAAAGGATAGCTATTCTTTTTAAGGAAAGTTTAAAAGATGCAGTCAAAAAAGAAGAGATAGAGAACATAATACTAAAGTTTAACAGCTGTTTATCCAGACTGACTAACTTACAGGTGTTGTGTCATAGAACAATAGTGTTATTGGAGAAAGTGGGAACAACTCTTGAATGGTAAAGATTTTCAGCTTTACTTAGATACTGAACTGTGTTACGGTAAATAATATAATCAATCATAGCTCATTCTTCATGAATGTATATTTTCTTTATTTCATGCCACCTAGGACAGTGCTATGTGTTTGTTTTTCATCTGAATGAAAAAACAAATTTGCTATTTCTACGCTTTTAATACTTAGAATTGAAACTGGATACTCATGTCTAGGGAGTTAGCAAAAAAAAAGATGAGGGTTTTTCCCCCCTTCAGACATACCCCTCACTCCTTTTCTTTGTACTGATTTTTGAATTACTGTTTTTTTATTCAGAGCTATTTAGAATTTTAGGTCACATTATTCTGTACTTTTTTGTACAGAGTGAATAAAATGATGATGAGAATGAACAGTGTAGATTTAACTCATTAGAACCAAAGCCTGTCTCTTTTACTGCAAATATGCAATTAAGTTTTTACTTTGTGGCACTAATGGTAACTACTGTTACAGTTCAGACAGACTGTATAGATACATTGAATCCTGAAGGGCCTGTTTTCAATCTGACATTGATATCTATTTTTTAGGGTCATGTGAAGGTGGTGCGCTACTTAGTCAAAGAAGTCAATCAGTTTCCATCAGATTCTGAATGTATGAGATACATAGCAACCATCACTGATAAGGTAATATATTGTTCAAATTCATCCCACTATATGAGTGAAGAATTCCATTTGGTTAACATATTTCCCATGACAAGAGAAATTCTTCGTTTGAGCAATAAAATGTGATATATAGCAGGTTTCATTTATCTGGTAGTTAGGA